CTCCATCCACTCTCTCCCCCTAACACCTCTCCCTCTCATAAAACCAGCTTTATTGTTCTCTTCTGCCCTTCCTTGGGACTCTTGTCTCTCGAAGCTACAGGGAAACTTTTTGAACATAAGTATGAAATTGTCTATCTCCCCCAGCCTTTCTTCTCAACTACTTCCTGCTTTGTTTTGCTCCAGCAGTCCTACTACCCTCCCCACCCAACGAGCCTGTTTTGCTCTGATATGCCTACCGCTAGTAGCCTGTTTCAACCTGCTGCTCTGGGGCCAGGAGGCCTCTGTCTATTGCAGGATAATGTGGGGTTTGGATCCTAGTGCTCTTCCTTTTCCAAGAGAAAGGCCGAAGTGCTGACTTTCATTTTGCTCTCTCAGCTCCACCCAAAAATCCATTTGAGGGGGAACACAAAGCCACTTCTGGTTCTTTTCTTTTATACTGAGACACATTAAAAAAATCATTTATTAGTGACCTTATTTCCACTGTTTGCTGCTTTGCAGGAGATAGCAGCCTGTGTGTCTTTGCTTCCCTAAGGTTGTCTATAGCAATGATTTCGGAGGGAAGTTTCCCTGCTTTAAGGACTGAGATCAAGGATCCATTCCCTGAGACCTTAGAAACTGAGTGGTGGAAGTTCGCATTTGAGACCTGTCGCAGAGAGTTCATGGGGACCAGTCTGGAGTCAGTAAACAGAAGGACAGGACAGGACTGTTTACCTCCCCATCTGGCTAGTCTCTCAGTGGACTCTGATGCCTTGGTTCACTAGTCTGAAGATAAATAGATGTCTGTTCAATTGTTCAGTGCTTCCCTAATTTTTAGTCTGTCTTCTAAAATTCAAATCTTCCCATATTCACCAATCAGATTACTTCCTTATCCCAGAAGTGCTTGCATAATTTCCTATCATCTTACTTGGATTATAGTGTGACAAAAGACTTCTTATATGACTCAAGCCAGTAGCTTATTCACAGTTCTTTCTACCTCTTAGGTCACTGATAGCTATATATTTCTACATTTAACAGACAACTCTAGTGTGAAAAAGGTCCTTGCTGACCCTTGCATTAGGCTAGCTCCCGTCAGCTTAACCCCAGACTCACTTTGCAAATACTCCTTGCATAAATGATTGAGGTCTGACTTAGTGTAAGTAACAAAACATCCAGCTAGTCACAGCTCCTGTTTCTCTGGTAGGGGCATTATGGTGATCCAACAGATGCAGAGGTGCTTTGCTCATTGTGGCCTGAAGTAATTTATACCTGGCCAAATCCCAGATCTTTTTGCAAACTGAGAGCTTGAATGAGGAAATGGGATTATGTAACAAATTTCTGCCCTATAATCCTTTGCTTTAACACACCTTTAAGTGTTTCATGTTTTTCTTCCACCTTTCCCTTTGTGACTTTTCCACTCTTATTTTATGCCTTTTCTTACAGTAGCTACAGCTCTAGCTCACTTTCAGAAATGTTTTTCATTAGTTGCATTAGTATAGACACAGAACCTGTATGAAAATGTATGTTGAGAGCTGACTAGATTTAACTGTAAGTGATCTTAACTAGAGGTATCTTTGTGAACTGACTGGACAAATTTGTTTGTGGCAATATACAATTTATTCATCTATCTTACCTATGTGTTTGAACTTTTCCATCTTCTTAATTATGACATTTAACAGCTTGTAAACTGTAAGTAATGAAGTTAACTTTACCTCTCTTCTGTAGTGAACAGTACCTAGGCTTTATAAACTCTCTGGGCAAGGAATTTATTTCCTCTTGGATTTTACAATGGCTGTGATCATTTTGAACACAAGGTAATTTAAATTAAAATGGAGTAACGGAACCTTGGCTGAGCAATTATGGCCAGTTCTGATCTGCAGCAAATATCCCAGAATATAGGTCTCCATAGTAATTTAGTTTCTAACTGCCTTTTAAATAAAAGTTCATCTCCTTTTCTTGAGATTTGTCCACCTTTTTCTTAAAAGTAAGATGACTACACAGATTAAAGGAAAAGAGCGGGCACAAACTATTACAAACATACACAAAACAAGGCAAGAGGAGTCTGCCTTTTAGAGGTGCTGGACTCTGATGATTTTATTTGAAGTCAAAAAGATATCTAACTGTTCAATAGTTGCAAAAATAAAACCTCAGAGGTATTCAGTTTTGAATTGAAACTTCAGAAGACCGAGAAACCATTTGGACAATATGCTGATGGGATGTCATTGGAGTTAAAATGGTTTCATAAACCAGTATCTTTTAAACAGATTCTCTACCTTCTCATGGTTAAATGTAATTTTACTGCTTAAGCTGATAAAAAGTTACATTGTTATTGCCACACCATATTGGTCCTCCCCCACGTACTATCTAGTAATACTTTGAATGTCAGTTTTTCCAGACTTTGTAAACAAGTAGGACAGCTCTTGAAAAGTACTTGGATCACAGTCTCATTGTAAGTGTGCATAGGATGTTTCAGAAAGTGATGGAACTTTTTCAGTGAAGAACACTACTCTGAGTGTTTCTACATGTTTCACATGGTGCTGTGATGTTGAGAAAGCTGTCTTGCAAGGACTGGTATAAATGATGCAGGAGGTGATGTTCCCTCTCCTAAGTCATCACAGACCCTAATGTTGAATACTGGAGCTAATGGTCACTGTTGGTTTCTGCTGGAGAGTGTGCTCATGAATAGCATTCTGCTGCAACAGCATTTGTTGAATAATTCAGTAGGAAAGTGGCACTGTTAAGAGAGGATCAGGACATTAAATCTTTTCTTTATTCCAAAATTCATGTCTCTCTCTCTCAAGTTATATCTACATATTCATTGCACATAGATATGCTGTCTATGCCTGTGCTTTGAGATGTCCAAGTGTAAGCCATATTTTATCCAAAAATTGTATGTCCCACACTTCATAAAGAATTTGTTTGACTGGGGTCATTAGCTGAAGCTCAGTAATTTGAACACTGCAGCTGTGTGCCTTTTAAAGCAGAGGTTTCTTACATCTATCTAATTTAGAGTAAGGACAGAGTATATTTCCATCTGGTAGCAATAAACTATGTAAACGTACCTTACATTTTCCACATAACAGATTAGGTATAGAAGTCTTCTTCAGGTTAGGCACCACAGGACAGTGTAATGTCTGTATATGCATTTAAGTCATGAAAAAGGTTTAGCTCAAAGGAGATTGCAGGTTGGCAATGTGCAGCCTGATGTCTCTATTGAATATGCAACCTGCAAAGCTTAGAGGATCTTGGCACTGAAAGATGCTCTGTTTGTGATCTGTTTTTTCCTGCTAGCGTATGAGTTGCTTTGAAGGCACCTTTATCAACTACTGAAAGTGAAGACAAAAACAAAAAGTTTTTCCTGGATACTTTTTCTAACTGCTGAGGTAGGAAGAGGCGCTGGGGTGGTATGAGTGGGGGACGTCGCAAGTAATCTTTATCCGCTAATTCCCTTCTTATCTCTGAGGCACAGATGACAACTCTACCCTCTTAAGTCCAAAAGTTAGTGAGAGGACCTCTCGCTTTTTGCTCCATGAAAGAATCTCTGACTTCTTCCTCTTCTGTATACAGCACATTAGCTCTTTCAAGTACTAACACTGATCAGCACATTGAAAAATATAAAGAGTTGGACATGCCTTCCGGCTGTCACACACAAAAATGTTTAATGTAAATTTAATTTTATTTAGTCCTTTAGATTCAAATAGAGGTATGAGTCATAAAAATGTGTAATTATTAAGAACTTAATTGACATGGCAGATGTTGCAGACATTGCTTATATATTCAAGATGGTTGTAAACCTAGGCAGATTTCAGAGAAGTATTCTTAATATCTGTCCTGAAGTGACATTGAATGTGGACTTTGTTCTTCTAAGTTGTGTGAAACCTTCCAAAAATACCATAGCATAAACTGCACAAAAAATGCCATCATTATGTAAATAAATGAAAAAGTAGTATATGGACAAACATTATAAAAATATGATGTAGCAATATACATTTCACTGGCCGTCTTGAAAACTAATGTAGAAAGGTTATCACTTACAAACAGATGATGGTACCAGTGACTAGTGTGGCTCATGGATTAAAGCAACATGAAGAAAATGCCTATTTATATGAAAGACTATCTGCCAGAGGTTAATGAAGGTATTGGTAACCATCAAAAGCAAAAATTTGGTTTGAAAACATCAGAACACTGCAGCACTGCAAGAGCTTATTGATAGCTAGAGAAGTCCAGAAAGCTGAAAGCAGGATGACCTGAGAGCCATATTGTTTTCCACTGTGGATGGGAGGACTGATGGCAGGAGAGATTATCTTAACCTAAAATTTGAGCTGCCTCTCTAGGTGCTAGCAGTGTGTTCTAGTTGTCCTTTGGGTGACACAGAGAAATCCCTCCAGAGACTCTGAGTCACATATCCATATGGGAGCTTTTTTTTTTTTTTTTTTAAATCACAACCTGTTCTTCCACCAAACACTTGCTCTCTCATCTACCTTCAGTTCGCCAGGTACATCTTTATGTTTAACCAGGAAGAAGGGCAGAAAAATCATTTACACTACAATGAGTAGAGAGGCTCTAGCTTCAGGGGAGGCAAGAAGAGGGACAGTTCCTACCAGACGGTATGTGCCAAAGAGGTTGTAATGGTGGGTTTGCTCATGTGTAGTGTTTTGGTTAGCTGGATGAGTTTGTAAAGATGATGACAGAAAAGGTGAGATAGCCTGACCTGTGTGGGTCCTTCAGACTAAAGATTCATTAGTCCACCCAAAAGAAAGAGCATACTCAAACCTGGAAGCAGAGTGAAGAGAATGGATGTAGGGTATGTGAATCAGGAAGCAAACAGGAAAGGCAGTCTTGATGATAGAAAAGAAAGGGATTGATTTCAGGTCCTGGAGGAGGGAAATCTGAGATTGA